TTAGCGCACACTGAGTATGTGTTGGATGTACAGCTTTGTGTATGTCTGTGTGTTGTGTGTGAGAGATAATCTAATTGTAACATGTGTCTTTTTTGTGTAAACGCCTTATTTTCTGTAAGGTCTCATTGTGTTCTGCATTAACACATTATTTGTTACTTAACACCATTAATTTCTATGAACACATTGCATGAACACATTGAGTTCTGTATGAACACATTGTCTTCTGTTTCTCATGTACACGAGTTTACACAGCCAAACAGTATACAGACCGTATACTCTGTGTGTCCGCTGAGCTGTATACTGATTTTATTTCCCTTACAGGTGAGCAGCCGCTGAGGGCACTACGGGGCGAGGCGAGTCTGAGGGTGAGACTTAAATGCATTACCCTTATTGACTTTATTACCTTCCACTGACATCATCACATCCCACTGACAACATCATTTAAAATTACGGCGATAGTCACAGCGCAGTCACAGCGCAGTCACGGCGCAAACACAGCGCCGTCACGGCGCAGTCACAGCGCAGTCACGGCTCAGTCACGGGTTTGCCAGCGGTCCAAACAAAGGTTCGCCAGGCGTAAATACGGTCGCCAGTACGGCGTACGACTGCGTTACGCAGACACACATGCGTATACACTGCATATGTCAACAAAGCCACGCACTGCATATGTCAACAAACCATTTGCATATGTCAACACATGCCTTCTGTCTACATCTGCGCATAACAGTTTGAGCGCGCGCATGCGCGACGCAAGCGCCCATCTGCTTTCTCAGAGCGTGACCGTAACTTCACGTGGTGACTGTATCTCTAACGCGGCGGTCTTGTCTCACACACTTGCCATATTATTCGGCAATCGTGAGTTTACGCCGGTTACCTAACAAAGTTAGATGCCGACCCGATTCTGCAATGGGCAGCGCCCTGGACTCGGGGAGCGCGTAAATCAGCCGCTAATGTTCGCTTCGGCCGGGCTTGAAATGCAGCCTCTAATCAGCTTGCAAGCTCGGCATGACTCGGCCCAGCCAACCTTGGCATATTCTCTGCATGTCAACCTTGATATACACTATGGACACGCTTGTCATACTCTAAGGGCACATTTGTCATACTCTCACGCCACACTTGTGATACTATCAGAACACACTTGCCCCTCTCTTAGGACAAACGTTGTCATACTCTCAAGACACACTTGTCATACTCTCAGGGCACACTTGTCACTTCGGGAGCTCTATCAGGACACACTTGCCGCTCTCTTAGGACACACTTTTCATATTCTCAGGACACACTTGTCATACTCTAGGGATAAACTTGGCATACTCTCAGGAGACACTTTTCATACTCTCAAGACACACTTGTAATACTCTCAGGGCACACTTGTCACTTCGGGGGCTCTAACAGGACACACTTGCCGCTCTCTTAGGATACACTTGTTATCCTCTCAAGACGCACTTGTCATACTCTCAGGACACGCTTTTCATACTCTAAGGATAAATTTGGCATACTCTCAGGAGACACTTGTCATACTCTCAAGATACACTTGTCATTCTCTCAGGACAACATGAAATCAGATTGGAGATACTAACCAGAAGATAATTTCAATCGAATGGCCAAACAGACCCAAAATAGCTAACCCGAGTGTAGCGTCTCCTAGGCCGAAGCCTATAGGCATTACCCTAATTTTGTTAGTGTTGTATACAATAAGTTGGTCGAATCAAGAATCGCCAGGCACGCTAACCTACACACGGGAACGTGCCATTACGTCAGAGCTGCTCAGCTTAAACTGTTCACGTACCCACGGGCTCGATGACATGCCCGCGGTCACAGTAATCAAAACATCGCCCCCATCCCTCTCTTCACCTATCCTATTGACGTTCACTCATTTCACATTTCCATGTTCAATAGTGCATCGTGTGCGCATTTTCCTGCCATATCCATGTCGATAATCAAGGGCGTGTCATCGGCGGCCGGCGTATGGCTGACAAAAGTCGGGCGCCGACGAGGCTGACATGTCGAGTGCGGCTCGAGAGCCTCTTTCATCCTGACTCGTTTTTAACTGCAGCTCCTCCCTATAAAAGCCTTTGTTGCACCTGGAAAAACCCTTGTTTAGCCTCAAGAACCCTACACTGCACCTCAACTCTTTCTGTCACTCAAGAAACCTTTCTCAATACCGTAAGAACGTTAGAACCTCACATGGTTCATTAAAACCTCACATGGTTCATTAGAACCTTCCTTGGTTCATTAGAACCTTACATGGTACATCAGAGTCTTCCAGAGAACCATAAGTGTATCATTTATAACCTTGACTACTACTACTACTTGAAAACACTTCTAGCTACCTCATGAACCCTAAATACAGTAAGTAGCAATTAAAGAACCTTTAATGCCCCTTTAGAACCCTTCTTGGTGCCTTATGAACCCTAAAGAGCAACTTAGAACCATCGTTTTTAGAACATTTCTCATAGTACCTAAGGCATAGCATAAGGAAAAGCTATTCACATGTGCTGCCCCTGAAGGTGCCATGCAGAGCCGCAACCTGGAATTACATATTCTGAAATTATTGTTATTCATTTTTTTTTCATTTAAGGTTCTGGCATTCTTTGTCTTGTCATTTATGTCCCTGGCCTTCTAGGGTCTTGTCATTCATGATCCTGGCATTCTTGGCCTTGCCATGTAAGGTTTCATCATTCTTGGCCTTGTCTATCATTGTCTTCAACTTGTAATTACTCCTAAGCTTTGTCTCTATTCTTCTAAATATTTTGCCTGTTTTCGTTGGCTCCAAACTTATACAATCCTGTCGACGCTTCCTGGTCATCAGAAATTTGGTAAAATTTGAAAAGTTCTATTGTTCCGCGCGTCTTTCTTCTGCTGATAGTCTTGCTCTCATAATCAGCAGAAATGCCTGGTTTATTTTTTTTAACGAGCACAACTTTTGTTTAGTCGTGGCTGCAATGAAGCCTTGCTTGAGGTTCATTGGGGGACCCACGCGGAATGAATCTTGCGTTCATCCCCGGGACCCACGCGGGGGAATCTTGCGTTCACCTCTGGACCCACGAGGGGAGAATCGTGCGTTTACCCCGGGACTCACGCGGGGAGAATCTTGCGTTCACCTCTGGGGTTTGCGATGAGAAATAATCCTGTTCATCTCCGCGCCCCCCGCAGCGGCTGGGCCCCACGGGCTGACTTATGGGCAGTTACGCGCGCACCAAATGAAACCGATCGATTTGGGTGCAGGTTACGCACACGTGCGCATCCACCCCATCCACCCGCAGTGTGCGGCTGCGCATTAGAGAGCGAACGTGTCCGTGCATTAGAAGGCCTACGTGTCCGTGCATTAGAAGGCCTACGTGTCCGTGCATTAGAAGGCCTACGTGTCCGAGAGGGCCGCCGTGCCCTCACTTTGGAGGACCAGTGACTGAGCCCCTCCACCGCTGGTTTCCCTCTGGCTCAAAGCCTCGTCCCTCCATCGCAGATTTCCCTCTGGCTTAATGTCTTGCCCCTCCCTCGCGGGTTTCCTTCCCTCTAGCTCAATGTCTTGCCCCTTCCTCGCGGGTTTCCCTCTTACGCAATGTCTCGCCCCTCCCTTGCGGGTTTCCCTCTTACTCAATGTCTCGCCCCTCCCTCGCGGGTTTCCCTCTGGCTCAATGTCTCGCCCCTCCCTCGCGAGTTTCCCTCTGCCAGCTGCAGTGTTGCCACCCAACAATAGCCACAATTAAGCGCGCGTACAAACGGTCACGGTCGCCAGATCAGCCTCATCCTGGGAGCAGCCGAACTCTAAATGAGGGCTCAATGTGAGGGCGATATGAGGGCTCAATGTGAGGACGATATGAGGGCTCAATGTGAGGACGATATGAGGGCTCAATGTGAGGACGATATGAGGGCTCAATGTGAGGACGATATGAGGGCTCAATGTGAGGACGATATGAGGGCTCAATGTGAGGACGATATGAGGGCTCAATGTTAAGACTAAATAATAAAGAAATCTCTAACAAAACCCAAAAAATTAATCTTAAGTTATCTCATTATTTCTGTACCTTTTACTTCGAAGAGTTTAGGCGAAGCTGATCTTTTTCTTCGGTTTCAATTCGAATCAATTGATGAGTTAAAACTGGTTTCGACGCATTCGTGGCTTTGCAGTAATGCTCAGGGTGATCCAGCTAGTGAAGCGTGAAGCGACGCAGTGAAGCAATATCCTGTCTACTTGCCAGCTAGCCCCTATGGTCGGCCGCCGGCTGGCCGACTATAGGGCGGCCATGATTTCACCGTCTTCAGTCTCGGCTCCTCGCTTGGGTTTTCGGTCGAAACTTTCAATTCTTGCGACCATTTAACTTCGTCGCCCCTCCTTGGAGATCGTAAAGCCGGCGCCCCTTCCATGCTGGGCCGACCCTTCCATGCTGGGCGACCCTTCCATGCTGAGCCGACCCTTCCATGCTGGGCCGACCCTTCCATGCTGGGTGATCCTTCCATGCTGGGTTGCGCCGACCCTTCCATGCTGGGCCGACCCTTCCATGCTGGGGCGACCCTTCCATGCTGGGCCTGTCATGCAGAGCCGATCTTGTAATGCTGAGCCGACCCTTTCATGCTGAGCCGACCCTGTCATGCTGATCCAATCCTGTCATGCTAAGCCGACCCTGTCATGCTGAGCCGACCCTGTCATGCTGGGCCGACCCTTCCATGCTGGGCCTGTCATGCAGAGCCGATCTTGTAATGCTGAGCCGACCCTTTCATGCTGAGCCGACCCTGTCATGCTGGGCCGACCCTTCCATGCTGGGCCGACCCTTCCATGCTATGCCGACCCTTTCATGCTGGGCTGACCCTTCCATGCTGGGCCGACCCTTTCATGCTGAGCCGACCCTGTCATGCTGAGCCGACCCTGTCATGCTGTGCCGACCTTCCCATGCAAGGCAGACCCTTCCATGCTGGGCCGACCCTTCCATGCTGTGCCGATCCTGTCATGCTGAGCTGACCTTGTCATGCTGAGCCGACCCTGTCATGCTGGGCCGACCCTGTCATGCTGAGCCAACCCTGTCATGCTGAGCCGACCCTGTCATGCTGACGCACGTGGCACAGCTCGGCGCGCGTGGCGTAGCTTCTCCGATCAATACCGCTGACGTCGCGCGCCACAAACTTCCAGAAGCTGGCACGGCCACGGCAGGCACGGTCACGGCAGGCATGGCCACGGCAGGCACGGCCACGGCAGGCACGGTCACGGCAGGCACGGCCACGGCAGGCACGGTCACGGCAGGCACGGTCACGGCAGGCACGGTCACGGCAGGCACGGCCACGGCAGGCACGGTCACGGCAGGCACGGTCACGGTAGGCACGGTCACGGCAGGCACGGTCACGGCAGGCACGGTCACGGTAGGCACGGTCACGGCCGGACGAGAACTGCTCAACTCTGCGGTTTTCTGTCCCAAGATTCCAGTATCCCAGCCTCTCCCACTCGTTACTTCTGGCCGTCTGTGGACTTTAGCTGGCCACCCATAAGCCACCCTCAAACCGCCCATAAACCGCCGTCGAACCGCCTATTAGCGTCCCTCAAACCACCCATAAGCCGCCCTCAAACCACCCATAAGCAGCCATTAAACCTCGCCAGAAGACGTTTCAAAGCCACCCATGTTTTTCACTTCCTGCAGATTTTCATGCTTGACCAACTTAGTTTGATAAAGGTAATCAATAATATTTACAATAAAAACCTTTCCGAGTCCGAGGAAAGGTTTAGGTCGCTTTAAGCGGCGCGTCTCCAACGCCTTTAACCCTCGGCTGCGCTACCCTCACTTGCCCTCACCGACCCTCGACCGCCGAATCCTCAAGTTCAAGTTCTGCGCCTTCCGTCCCTTTCCCTCTCCGCCGTCCTCCGTCCATCTCCCTCTCCTCCGTCCTCCGTCCATCTCCCTCTCCACCGTCCCTCTCCCTCTCCTGCCATCCTCCGTCCATCTCCCTCTTCACCGTCCCTCTCCCTCTCCTGCCATCCTCCGTCCATCTCCCTCTCCACCGTCCCTCCTCCCCCTCGGTAGTGACGCAGGTTTGTTTCCAGCGATCAGTTGGCCGCCAAGAGAAAGTGAGTCACAGCTCTGACTCACTTCCCTGACTCAAGACCTTACCGCCTGTACCGCCACCAAGACCTTTGCCTGCATCATCCAGCTTCACCCTCGCCTGCGTCACCCAGTTTTATCCTCGCCTGCGTCGTCCAGTTTTATCCTCGCCTGCGTCGTCCAGTTTTATCCTCGCCTGCGTCACCCAGTTTTATCCTCGCCTGCGTCGTCCAGTTTTATCCTCGCCTGCGTCACCCAGCTTTATCCTCGCCTGCGTCGCCCAGTTTTATCCTCGCCTGCATCGCCCAGTTTTATCCTCGCCTGCATCGCCCAGTTTTATCCTCGCCTGCGTCACCCAGCTTTATCCTCGCCTGCGTCGCCCAGTTTTATCCTCGCTTGCATCGCCCAGTTTTATCCTCGCCGGCGGCGCCCAGTTTTATCCTCGCTTGCGTCGCCCAGCTTTATCCTCGCCTGCGTCGTCCAGTTTTATCCTCGCCTGCGTCACCCAGCTTTATCCTCGCCTGCGTCGCCCAGTTTTATCTTTTATCCTCGCCTGCGTCACCCAGTTTTATCCTCGCCTGCGTCGCCCAGCTTTATCCTCGCCTGCGTCGCCTAGCTTTATCCTCGCCTGCGTCACCCAGTTTTATCCTCGCCTGCGTTGCCCAGCTTTATCCTCGCCTGCTTCACCCAGTTTTATCCTCGCCTGTGTTGCCCAGTTTTATCCTCGCCTGCGTCACCCAGTTTTATCCTCGCCTGCGTCACCCAGCTTTATCCTCGCCTGCGTCACCCAGCTTTATCCTCGCCTGCCTCTCCCTCCTCTCATGTCCCCGCGTTGCGCTTTTACCCTGAAACTTTCTCATTGTTTTCATTGTTCGGAAAATCGCGGGCATCGAAATCTGCAGCCATGCTGGGTTTATAGGCGGCTAATGGCCGGCCGGTGATAGGCCGGTGATATCGCAGCTATTATTTTATATGAAGAGCACAACGTGCCTGGAGCTTAGCACTCCAGCCGAGGTTCCTAGAACTGCTCCTGAACCGTGGACCGCGCCAGCCTTTATACTGCGCCTTATGCCTGAAAACGTATATTATAACTGTACAATCACTATTACATTTTTTTCATAATGTATGAATAAGCATTTGAAATGATATAACTTTTCTCTAGAAATGTTATGACTCCTCCTAGAAATGATACTACTCCTCCTTAGAAATGATACTACTCCTCCTTAGAAATGATACTACTCCTCCTTAGAAATTATACTACTCCTACTTATGACTGATACTACTCCTCCTTATAAATTATTTAATTCTTCTTTACAAAAATTTTCACGGTTTTAAAATGGCCATGGGTAAGCGATGAAATTTGTCAAAATATCTAATTTTTTAAGTAAATGTGCGATGAAAGCCATAGAAATGACGGCCGCGTCCCCACGCTGGGGATGAAGGCTGGGGACGGATGGTAGCACAGATGTTTACCCCAGCGACGGGTAAACGGGTTGAAAAAACCGGTGCCACGGCCCCCGATGCACGTTAATGAAGCGTGGTCCGTCCAAACATTGAGGGTTGCGCGCCAAAATTGGGCAGATCGTTCGTAAAAATTGGGGCGGTTTGGCTCCTAAAATTGGGGCTGTTGGCTCCTAAAATTGGGGTTGTTTGGCTCCTGAAATTGGGGTTGTTTGCGCCTACAAATTGGGGCTGTTGGCATCTAAAAATTGGGGCTGTTGGCATCTAAAATTGGGGCTGTTTGGCTCCGAAAATTGGCTGTTTGGCTCCTAAAATTGGGGCGGTTAGTTCCTAAAAATTGGGGCTGTTTGGCTCCTAAAATTGGGGCTGTTTCGCTCCTAAAATTGGGGCGATTGGTTCCTAAAAATTGGGGCTGTTTGACTCCTAAAATTGGGACTTTTGGCTCCTAAATTGGACTTTTGTCACCTAAAAATTGGGGCTGTTGGTGCATAAAAATTTGGACTGTTTGGCTCCCAAAATTTGGGCTGTTGGCTCCTAAAATTGGGCCTATCGTTCTCAAAATTTTTCCTTCAAACTCATCATGCAAATTACCATGTGAATCAAAATTTGCTATTGCTGTTTAATTGGGCTAGTTCACTACGCGTATACACAGCGCATTTAATTAAACATGAAAGATGAGTAAGTTTTCCAGCTCTAGGCACCGAGATGTGACGGTATTAAGTGCCGAATATTTACAGACATTACCGGTAAGTTCCTACTTTTGTTCAACATATATTCCTCATTTGCTTGTAGCTAAACGTTCTTATGTTCTATTTCTGCTTTGTCTGTCGTAATGCGATCATTTTGTCGGTGTCTCAGTTCCTATTATAGAGTTTGTCTTTCTTTTTATTGGCTGGAAACTACGTTTAAACGATTATTCATAATAAATTCTTAGAGCATAGAGTAAACATCTATGATAATCACTGCAATTCAATATAATACAACAAACTTCAAGAAGATATTGTTCTCGCGTCCAAACTTCACACGATCGTAAACCTTCTGCAGCTGAAGCATAAAAAAGTGTCCCGAACTCACATTCAGCCCACACGGAAACTGGTTATTATTGAAGCTATCTTATTATTTTGTTGATTTTATATTTCGTTAATTTTATATTTTGTTAATTTGTTTTGTTTGTTATTGCATGTGTGTTGTATGTAGGGGCCAGTCGGGGGGCGGCGCGGCGCAGGCAAGGAGGGGGTCGCTCCTAAGCACACCATCACCGACATCATGGCCAAGGTGAGACGTGCATGACGTGCAACACGACTGACGTACAGTCGTGCTACGTGCATCCAGACTGACGTGCAGCACGACTGACGTTCATTACGACTGACGTGCATCACGACTGACGTTCATTACGACTGACCTGCAACATGACTGACGTACAGTCGTGTTAAGTGCATCCATACTGATGTGATTAGATGATTACGACTGTCGTGCAGCAAAAATGACGTGCATCACGATTGACGTGCAGCACGACTGACCTGCAGCACGACTAACGTGCAGCACGACTAAGGGACCATCTTAATTGCGATGCCTGTAGGTATTTTTTCATTTATTATATTATTTAGCACCACTAAATGTAAAGATTGAATGTAAACAATACAAATGTTTATTCAATCATCTCGAATGTGATGAATTCTCTTATTCATCTCGACCGTCTCCGGTCTACGTTTAATCATTCACAAACTCTCCCTGTGCTCACCGCCCATCTCGCCGGTGAGAAAGCAGTGATTAAATTCTCGTTTATTAATCCTCCTCCTAAAACTTTATTTTTCCTGGCTGTATATTACGACAAGTTCAAACTTTAGTGTTAAACCTTTCAATAATTTAAAGCGTTCTTTATTGCTATATACTCATGAAATTTCCTTTGCAGCAGAGTTTCAAACTTGAACGAATCGAGTGATGAGTAATAGCATGTTAGCTACTTCTTGCTGGTCATTCATTACAGTAATGATTTGTTGTCAAACTAATCAACATATAATTGCAGGCTCATTTGTTCTTAATTTTATTTTTTTTATTTCATCTATATATCACGACATTGCACTTCAATTCAAGTTGCAATTTATTCAAGTGCAAAATATAGATGTAAGTCAAGTTGTAGAAAACCTGAGTATACCGTACGTTATTAAAAATCTATTTGTAATTCGACTGTCAATTTTCTACATTTTACAGACTAAAAATATTATCTTAGCCATAAATATTGTCTTCATATCGTATTAAGAACTAATATGGAAAGGTAGGTGAGTTATGTAACTACCTTTGACGTCGATTTAGGCTGCTGCGCCGGTCCCAAAATCTTTTAAAAGAGCCTCCCTAGTTTTGATCAGTTTTCTACAAATTTGAATGCGGAGAAAACAAATAATTTGATTGGAAACTGCAAAATTTTGCCAAAATATATCATTGATAGTAGAATGTTTGAAGTCATCGTTCAAATAATTTTTTAGAGTTTCATTAAGAACTATAGCTAATTTTTTAGTCTATAAATGTATAATATCATGCATAGGTTCATGCGAAAAAGTTCATCAGATTATTAGCTAAGCTGGTAAATCACGTTTTACACACAATGAGAACGTATGATCGACTCGGTTTAAATTACATATTAATTATATAAATAGTAAAATTTGAAACTTCGATTTATTTGCAGCAGAAATATAAATCATCGCCTCGTCTGACATTTCTATCTCCAGAGCACTTACCAATCTTCTAATTAGCCCTAACTTTTGGGTAAACTCTTCCGCACGCTCCAATAAATTTATTATTTTTCCCATTTTTACGTGGAAATTTTGAATTGTTGTTAATCTAAACTATAAACTACGATAACCATTTAACTTCAGATGGCACGAAATTATGGACTCATATTATTTCACCCTTATTACTTCCCCTTACCGGCCTTACGACCCAAACCTGCTGTATAGGCGCGGCCATAAACTATGATGTTGCAGTTCCATATCAACATTTTTCTGGACTCAGCTGCGGACGCGCTGTTTATGAGAATTTCAGCTCTAATCGTAGCCGATCGATTGGTTTCCGCCATCCGCTTCGATCGAGCAGCGCCACCACCTACCTATCGATTGAGACGATCTGGCAGCCTTATGCCAGATCGTAAATCGTGATCTATCGAGCAAAACGTCCGCCATTTCTGTTACCCGCACGATCGTCCCTCGGAGGCTCGGCGTCTTTAGGATATTAAATCGTGAACTCCGACCTATGATCTGACAAAAATACTACATGGCCGTATAATTAATCGGCGTAACCGACATATGGTGCTCGTACATAGCCATAATCGGTGCCTTCGATGTATGTTTTGCTGGATATTACCGACCGTTAAATAATAATGCACCGTGGGAAATTTTGCTTGAAAGCCAGTTCCCATACTAGCATATAGTCGTTACATCATTCCGTCACCCACGAGCGTGCAAAATCTCCTAAAAGCTTAATTAATTAAACTGTAGCCTTGTGCAGTTGTGCACGCGGACTTATACTATAATACCCAAATTCTTCACACATTCTAGAAATTTTTTATTTTCATATTTTAAAAAACATTCTGCAGCTGAAGAGGCCTCAGTGTCACTATTTAAAGTATTTCATGGAATGTTCAGTATTATGACTAAGGATTTTAGTATTTTTAAGAATTTTAATGAATTAACATTGGCGCACCCTGGCCTGCACTCTGCATCTCCAGGACTATGGGCGCCGCAGTCTCACATGCTGCGCGGTTCCCGTTTTCTCTAGACGCACCGTCGCGCTCGCCTCTCACGTACGCAAGCACAGCAGTACCGCGGTGATGACGTCACACGCCAGATGATTGTGGGTAGAGGTAGAGTTAGGTGGGGCCAATGGGGGACTGGGATGTGGGGGAGTGGGGTTTATAATATGTGCGGCTCGGCATCGAGGCCTTGGGAGGTTCGGCTCGACCGGTTAGGCAAGGAAATAGAAAGCTCCACAGCGAGCTGTAGCTCAACGCCGAACATCTAGACGCATTCTGTGCATTCCTCGTCGTTTTCATCTACCCTACCTTTCCTTATGCGTCGCTTTAGCCTTCATTCTTCTCGTTTTCATTTTATCTTCGTCTTCTCCATGATCCAAAGAAAATATACGTCTCTACCATTCATAGTCTTTTCATATTGATCAATTGTTGGTCCGGGATCGCGCTCTCGTGAGCTCTACCGTAGCACAGATGCCCAAAAATATTGACGGCATCACAAATCTACCACCATAAACCTCGATGTTCTCTAACAATTTAACCAAACACAGACGATGCATAAGGATGACCAAGATACTTAAACCTTCTCGAGCTAATCGTAAATAACGTCTTGACTGCGACTCAGATGAGACTCAAAATATTATTGATTTTTGGTTGTAATCTTTAGTTTAGCGCCCATCCCATAGAAATTCAATTAATAATTTAATTTGCGTGAATAATGGCAATGTGAGACCTTACATTCTACGCGCTACGATCGCCGTAAGACTCATGACCGCAGTAAGCCTTACGATTGTCTTTAGAAACGAGAACCGAGAGTGAGGCCAAGCCAGCGGTGACAGGGGGCCGTGGCCCTGCTACTGGCACCACATGCGCGGTGACAGGGGGCCATGGCCTCGCTACTGGCACCACATGCGCGGTGACAGGGGGCCATGGCCTCGCTACTGGCACCACATGCGCGGTGACAGGGGGCCCTGGCCTCGCTACTGGCACCACATGCGTGTGACAGGGGGCCATGGCCTCGCTACTGGCACCACATGCGCGGTGACAGAGGGCCATGGTCTCGCTACTGGCACCACATGCGCGGTGACAGGAGGCCATGGCCTCGCTACTGGCACCACATGCGCGGTGACAGGGGGCCGTGGCCTCGCTACTGGCACCACATGCGCGGTGACAGGAGGCCATGGCCTCGCTACTGGCACCACATGCGCGGTGACAGGGGGCCATGGCCTCGCTAATGGCACCACATGCGCGGTGACAGGACCGTGGCCTCGCGACTGGCGACATGACGTACAGGCTCAGTAACCTTCCTAAGTTTTACGATAGTCGTAAGCCTTACGATGGTCGTAAGTTCTACGGTGGTCCCGAAACATGATTGGCTGAAGTTGCAGCCTACGACCATCGTGATGCCTACGACCATCGCAATGCCTACGACCATCATAATGCCTACGACCATCGTAAAACTTACGATCATCGTAATGCCTACGACCATCGTAAAGCTTACGATCATTGTAACGTCTACGATCATTGTAAAGCTTACAACTATCGTAAACGGAGAAATGAGGTGTTGACATGGAGCTGGAAGATAGGTCGTCATTGCTATGTATAAAACCAGAAAATATTCAACGGGCTGGCCGTTTAAACAAGGTCGTATGCGTTACGATGGCCGTATGAGCTACGATGTTCGTAAGAGTTACGACGGTCGTGTGAGTTACATTGGTCGTATGTGTTACGACGGCCGTATGAGTTACGACGGCCGTATGAGTTACATTGGTCGTAAGAGTTACGACGGCCGTATGAGTTACATTGGCCGTATGTGTTACGTCGGCCGTATGAGCTACGATGTTCGTAAGAGTTACGACGGCCGTATGTGTTACGACGGCCGTATGAGTTACGACGGCCGTATGAGTTACATTGGTCGTAAGAGTTACGACGGCCGTATGAGTTACATTGGCCGTATGTGTTACGTCGGCCGTATGAGCTACGATGTTCGTAAGAGTTACGACGGCCGTATGAGTTACATTGGTCGTATGTGTTACGACGGCCGTATGAGTTACGACGGTCGTAAGAGCTACGACGGCCGTATGAGTTACGACAGTCGTAAGAGTTACATTGGTATGAGTTACGATGGCCGTATGAGTTACATTGGTCGTAAGAGTTACGACGGCCGTGTAAGTTACGATGGTTACAGGAGTTACGACGGCCGTATGAGTTACTACGGCCGTATGAGTTACGAAGGTCGTAAGGGTTACGACGGTCGTATGAGTTACGACGGCCGTATGAGTTACATTGGCCGTATGAGTTACGACGGCCGTATGAATTACGACGGCCGTATGAGTTACGACGGCCGTATGAGTTACGACGGCCGTAGTAACTCAGTTACTACGGCCGTATGAGTTACGAAAGTCGTAAGGGTTACGACGGTCGTATGAGTTACGACGGCCGTATGAGTTACGTCGGCCGTATGAGTTACGACGGCCGTATGAGTTACGACGGCCGTATGAGTTACGACGGCCGTATGAGTTACGACGGTCGT